GATGGCTCCTTATGAAGCCCTATATGATAATCAGTCTACAATTAAGATGGCTCCTTATGAAGCCCTGTATGGTAGACAATGTAGATCTCCACTGCATTGGAATGAGGTATGAGAGAATGATGTTTTGAATACAGCTCTTGGGCCAGAGATAACTCAGAAAATGATAAAAGACATCAAGTTGATCAGAAATAGGATGAAACAAACCCAAGACAAACAGAAGAGTTATGCGGATTTAAAGAGAAAAGATGTAGAATTTGAAATGGATGATAAAGCGTTTATTAAAGTTTCCCCCTATATGCGGGTGATGCGTTTTGGTGGCAAAGGAAAATTAGCGCCTAGATACATTGGCCCCTTTGAAGTGTTGCAACGAGTTGGAAAGGTAGCTTATAGGTTAGCGCTACCACCTAATATGGATAAAGTGCACAATGTGTTCCATGTCTCGATGCTTCGAAGGTATGTCAGCAATCCCTCCCATATACTAAAAATAGAAGAAGTGGACTTAGAAGAGAATCTCATTTATGAGGAGCATCCAATACAACTATTGGATAGAAAGATTAAAGAGCTCCGAAACAAGAGCATTTCGTTAGTGAAAGTCCTATGGAGGAATCACAAAGTATAAGAAGCTACATAGGAGGTAGAGCAAGATATACATAATCGTTACCCTGAGTTGTTCGTTTGAATTTCGGGGACAAAATTCCTATAAGGGTGGAGAATTGTAACACCCACATCGAGGTACGTAACTTTACTTATGTCTAAATGCCTTTAGTATTACTTATTCTAGGGTGAAAGAAAGAAAATTGGCATTTTCATTTTTCGCCACGGCAAAGGAATTTTGTCGCCACGACAATGAACTCACTGCCCAAATTCGTGTGTCAGAAATTTCAGACTTCGCTGAGGCAAAGAAAAAAGTTCGTTGGGGCAAAGAACTCTCTGGAATTTTTGAGAAAATTTCGGAAAACTTGCTTAGTGGTAAAATGGTCATTTCACCCAGAATTAGTTGAAGGTGTAAGGAGTGAAAAGAAGTATGTAACGCCCACATGGAGGTGCGTAATTTAATTTATGCTCTTATAACTTTAGTTGATTTTTGCTAAAGTTATTTTGAGAAAATGTGAAGAAAATGCCTTAAAATCGCATTAAGGGTAAAATGGTCTTTTCACTAAAAATTAGTTGAAATTGTGGGGAGTGAAAAGAGATGAATTTCATGGAGAATGCAATAAAAATGACGGCATTATGGTAATTGACTAGGGGACATAGATGGAATTTTAAAGAAAGTACAAGGGCAAAATGGGAAACTATATATAATTTTATGTTATATCAAGGATTGAAGAGTGAAACCCTAGCCACTCTTCAACCCATTTTCACGCCACCTTCTCCTCTAAATCCTCTCAATTTCTTCACTTCTTTTTCAAAAGAAATTCATAGATTTTGGGTATTTTTGAGTGGATTTTCAATCCCAAGCATCTTTAGGTAAGATCCTTGCACTAAGAAGTGATTTTAATTTTTAAAGTGTTGAATTTTGATGCTTTGTGCTCATAGGATTTAAGAGGAAGAGAGTTTGATCAAAGAAGATTCTTAAAGGGTTGAATTGCTCATATCAAAGGTAAGTAAATCCTACCCTAAGTATGATTTAAGTTATGTTGTGTAGATAATTTTCTTTATGCATATATATATGTGTTATATGTAGAATTGTTGATGGATTTGGTGTTGAATGATGATTAGAACCTATCCATGAGAAGTTGTGTTGGCGTATTTGATACTTGATGAATGTTTGGTTGAAAATTGGAAGAATTGAAGTGGAAATTTTGGAGTGTGTATTTTGGGCAGATTTGGCGTTAGTTATGGAGGATTTTATTCCAAATTTTTGGTGGCCTAGAAGAGAGATAGAAGTGTAGCCAAATTAGTGTTGATTTGTGCACATGAATTGTTTGATGAAATGTCAAAGAGAAGTGCATGTATGAGTATGATTATGTGTTACTTTGGGAAGAGTTTGTAGATGGTAAAGAATGACATGTTTGCATTCCATAATGCATAATTGCATTTAAACATGTGAATTTAGAAAGAATTATAAGCATGAAACCATCTACATGCATACATATTCATAAGAGTATGAGAAAGTAGTAAAATATGTTAAAGAGAAAATAGAAAGAAATGAGAATATTAAAGATATTCAAATCTCAATTTTTAGTTAAAGAAGTGTAAAAAGATAAAAAGAAGAAAAGGTTGTCGCAATGGAGAGCCCGTGAGTGACATAGCCCCACATGCACGCCGCCTTTAGTGAGCGGCCTCAGAATTCAGAAAGAAGAATTGTACAGTCCGTTATAAGTGCGTGTGGATGAGGGTTGTACCCAGAATTAGAGAATTCACTTACACGGCCAAGGCTCCAAATCCATGCCTCAACTGAGTCAGATCGGCAAGAAAAGAAAGAAAGAATAGAAAAGAAAAGAAAGAATAGAAAGAAAGAAAGAAAGAATAGAAAAGAAAGAAAGAATAGAAAGAAAGACTAGAAAAGAAAGAAAGAAATATGTTAGGAAACAGTCCATATACACAACAGAAAACAAAATCATAATAACAAGGATCGTTCCCATTGACCTAAGATCAAAGGTACAATTTTACAGTTTACGTTAAAATAGAAATCTGCAGAAATTAATCATGAGTTTAGAAAAACATATGCACGTTTGGAGGCTCCTCCAAATTTGTCAATGAATGTTTTGCTACCAACCCAAGTGTAGGATCGAACCCACGTAGTCCACATGAAGACAATCACAAAGAACTAAGGAGGGATTTGCTAGATCCTCCTTAGCTTTAAGATCAAGAAGAAAAATCAATGAAATTGATTTTAGACAAAATTGAATTCTAATGTGAGAGAGTGTTTAAGGGGCTGCTGTGTTTGTGCTTTTTCAAAGAAAAAAAAAAACTAAATGAAATCACACACATTTTACAAATAACCATTTTCTTTTATAGTGAAATCTTAGTTGCCCTATTCCCATATGGAATAGCCTTGGGCTCCAACCCAAACACCCCATGTTACCAAACACTCCCAATTAGATATTTTATATTCATTTCACCATTATCTCAATTAAAATCAATTAATATATATTTAATCTATATATTAACATTTAACAACAATGATGACTTAATTAAATATATGCGAACACATATTTAAACGTAATTTCACTTATTTAATTTTTCTAATAAATTAAATAAAGGCTACGACCTCAGCAAATTTAATTGCACTGTAAAATTACCAAAATACCCTTTCGCCTTAAAAAGATGAAAACGCCCTTCTTTCTTTTTGAGTCTTAAATTATCTTCTATATGTGTGACCCATAGGCTCCTCATCATACCGGCAATGTATAGTATCACGATTAACACCAATTAGTCGTCTCACTAATACACAAACCAAGATTGGCCCCTAGCAAGGCATCATGGCCACCTGATAGATTCGGATTCAGCAAAATAGCTACCTGTGAACAATATGGTTACCGTACAATTAGATCCTTTCATCATCCGTTATCTCGATGAGACGAAGACATAGAAATAGTATCAATCTTCAGTTACTCTCAATATTATGTATTCAGTTTCTGGACCAATAACTTGTATTATAATCTGGATAGAGCAACAACTGAATCCCACTGTGGCCACAGTTTTAGTGTCATTGCCATATACTGAATTGCGCCGTGAGATAACTTCTCCTGTACCCGGGGGTGATGAATCCTCTGTCGATCCACCATAGTCTTGATACACTCCTTGATGCAGCCAATCACCACCATATTAACAGCTCTAAATAGAACTACGTTAGGCTAGTGTCAAACTGCACCAATCGGTGTATAAGGCGCTCCGGTGATCTCAAGTCGAAGGATCACATGTACCACCATTCGTTAGAGGATTTATTCCATAGACACTGGGGTTGCCATCCATATGAAATCCTCTGGTGGGTCAGTCCAATGAACTTGCTGTGGTGTATTCGCCTATAGCAAGAACCCATGTCACTACAAGAAAACTGGCATTCTGCGTCTAGCAAAATTAGACACAGAAAGTCACATTTAGATGCTAAGCCATTTTTAGCATCTAAATTTGGTTGTCGCCCCCTTAGTTGCCGTAGGCTGGTCGCAGATTCATAGCGCGTCTATATTGTGGTTTAGACGCAAAAAGTTTTTTTTTTTTTGCGACTAGCAAAATAGTCGGTAAATGCTGGTCAAATTAGTCCCCCAACTTAGACGCTAAAAGTTCAAGGGTAATTTGGTAAAATTTTATAGCGACTAATCAATTAGTTGCAAAATGTCAGTTTTAGTGTCTAATAATTTGTCGCGAATCCCACACAAATTAGACGCCAAAGGTGTAAGGGTAATTTCGTAAAAGGTTTTCGCAACTATTTTGTTAGTCGACGAATGTATCTATTAGTGACCAAAATTTAGTGGCTAATTGTAACTCTTTTAGACGCTGAATGTAGAATCCAAATAGTTTTTGCGACTATTTTATTAGTGGCCAAATGTATCTTTTGGTGACTAAAATTTAGTAGTTAATTATAGTAATTTTAGATGCTGAATGTGGAATCTAATAGGTTTTCGCCACTATTTTATTAGTGGCCGAATGTATATTTTGGTGACCAAAATTTAGCATCTAATTATAGTCATTTTAGACGCTGAATGTGGAATCCAATTATGATAAATTACTTTTTGCTACTACAAAATTAGTTGCAGAATGTGTTTTTTTTTAGAAAATAATTAGTGGCAAAAGCATTTTGTATTGACTTAGTTTATACATTCAACATCAACAAAATAATCCATCACAATATAAAAATCTGAACACTAACATCAAATATCATATTTTCATATATATATATATATATATAGTCCATACAACTGTTTATCTTGTTTTCTTGTTGTTGGACTATGCGCCTTAACTCTGCTTCTGCTCCTTCAAGTAAGATGAGCTGCTCCTTCAAGCATTATTGCACGAATGTATCATTTTTTCCTACCATCAATTCAATGCATAATCAATAAGTCAAGCAAGAAACTAAATTATTACAAATAAATTATAATTATTCTGGGGTATACAATATGTGACAAAAACTTATGAAATGGCAATAGAAAAGAAAGACTACTCCTCAAAGTTCACAGAACGTACTGCAGCACCAAACCAAAATCAAATTGATGGAGTAGAAAAGCAAATATCTCACAGATTAACAATCTAAACTTCAATTCCCTAGTTTAAAATTTTAAACTAAGTTAAATTTCTTCTTTCATTCAGCCAAATGTGTTTTTGTAGAATACAACCTTATTCATAAAGGCTATAAATGTTTGAAATCTGATGGAAAAATAGTCATCTCACCTATGCCAATAATCTTGGTTTTAATTCAAGGTCTGATTTTGGTCCCAATTTCTGTACTTTTGATTGTTCATCTGATACATTGCATACATCATCTTTACTATTCACCATTGTTCAGCATGCTGTCCCTCGGTTTCAACTCTTCCTATTGTCACCTCATTAAATTCAATCCCTTCAAATTCAGCCTACCTAAGTTAAATTTCTACATAAGTTTACCAATATCATAACTTTACCAGTGTTTGCAGTGTAATTTTAGTTAACCAATATCATAAATTTCTACATAAATGTATGAGAGGTAAAAAGATAGCAATGAACTAAAAAAAATAGTGTCAAAAAACTCAGAACTAACCTTTATGTGAGCTGAGGCCTTGTTAGTTGTTGTGAAGACCCCAGAAGATTCAACAATATACTCAGCCCCATAATTGCCCCAAGGGATCTCAACCGGGTCCCTAGGTAGAGAGTTAAACGTTAGACCTTAAGTAGAATCAATTACTTATGTTTCCTGAGATGGGTGATGGAGTTAATTTACAATCCATAGAGTTAAACGTTAGACCTTAAGTAGAACCCATAATAACTCCTAACTGTTATGGATATATATGCACACATATTTAATCAACATAGGTTTGAGGCATGAAGATTCATGGAAATCTTTATTGATTTCTCTAGTTAATTCCTAATTTGCAGAGTGCTTGGTTAATAAGAAAGTGAGGAAAAAAAAAAAAGTTAAGAAAAAACAAGAAAGAGTTAAAATATATGAAGGGAATATCTTGGAGAAAATGATTGGGGATGTATTAATGATTAGTAGAACGCCTAATAATCCAAGATAGAATCTCATATTTGTAATTTGTAATCTACACAAATTCATTGAAGCATCTATCACATTACACAATTGCTCTGTCTCCCGGGCTTGTCCATCATTTTAGAACAAAGTAAATCAAAGGCAAATATAACAGGCCAGAAATATATATTAATAGACTCAGCTTGTGCATAATTGATTGCAGTAACAACACAGTTACAAAGAGCACAAACAGATCCAACAAAATCCTTGAAGCTACCAAAAGGCTTATAATTTTGTGATGCAATATAAAACCAAGATAACCTCCTCCTCCATATCCAGGTAACTTTTTCCTTTCTCCCTTTATAAATAAGCTCAAGAGTGCATATAGTAATACACCAGTCTTTCAAACAATCGAGAGAGCAAAAAGTTAGCCATTTACAATTACAGTGTGGGAACCTCTTGACCAAATTAATTTATTACAAACAGAAGTATTGCTGTAGATATAACTTAATTATTTGAAACATCTATATGGAACATACCACTTTTGCATCAATGATTTAAAATGCTAACAAATAAACCTCAATCACAAAGAAGTTCTATTTTAGATTTTGCATCAATGATTTAAAATGCTAACAAACAAATCCCAATTACAAAGAAGTTTTATTTTAGAAAATAATTTTATTACGCGAAACCTTAATATTTCCTGCCTCCAATGAATCTTAATGATACAGGAAAACGCTTTTTAAGAATAATTTATATGCAAAATTTTGTTTTTAACATAGACAACCAGACCACAACTCAACAGCAAACTAAGTTCTTACTCTCTAACATGTCTACATTCATATGAATAGAACAAAAGTCAATCAAGTTGTCTTAAAAGAAAATTTGAGATGGCCCATCTCATTAAAACAACCACCATCATTCGCTTACCATCACCGCTGACAATGTACCACCCCACTGCCACTAATTACCAATACTACTCTCTACTGCCATGCTCTATCACTACAACTATGAACAATCACATCAACTTTTTCTTTTCATCATATCCACTTATCTGGGGACCAAATCACTCAAAGGTGTTGCAGAACTAAGCAATTCGGTTTTTTATGGATGTAATAGACTTATTTTTCTGACAACTGATAATAGCTAATAATCTCAAATTATGGTCAATCAATTTTAAAAGAGCTATAAATCATTGTAAGTTTTTCCTTGGTGAAAACTATTAGAATTCTATGGAGGCAGTGATTGAGATAAGGGAAACAATATCATTATCTGCTATTGGATCAATTGGTGGATGAAAGAGAGAGGCCGGCAGTAGCAATAATATCAGCAATGGATAAAGGAGAGAGAATGCATCAATTAAATGACTTTTTCTGTAAGCCATGGCCCAGGAAAGCGAGTCATATAGTTAGAGAGACATGAGCGATTGAATTCTTAAAGGAAAATTAGGGACAACAAAATTTGTTATTGCTCTTTCATAATCGAACTTATATACCATTCTTTTATAGAAAGAGTTAAAAGATGTTATTGTATCTTTGCATCTCAATTAAAATGTGTCATTTAACAAGTCGTATATAAGGAACCATAAATATCCGTTATTGCCAATAGGCAATTGACACTTCTTCACTGAAGCATGATTTTTCATGTCAATAACTAGCATGCAAGTACTATAATTATGAATGATGTTAACTCACCAATTGAGATATGTCAACATCAAACTAATACAAAAAGTACGTGTGAGAGAGAAAAAACATACGTAGCACATGGAGGCACATGTGGATCACTGCACCAGCCAGGTTTCTCTTCTGTAAACCTGAAAATAAATTCAAAATGCATCATGTCTTAGCAACTTACTTCTCCCCGTTGAAGTGTTCCACGCCAAGATCTTCATCCCAAATAAAAATATACTCATAAGCTGCAACAACGTCAGGATGCAAAAGCCTTTTTGCATACCACCTACCAATCATATGTGAAAATGAAAACTTAAATTGAAGATTTCTTGCATCAAAACCCTGACAATAAATCCAAGCAATTCAAGAATGGATGATCATGAAAACAAAACATATAAAAACAATGAGATGCTTATTCTATACTTTGGTAGCTCTCAAATTAAAGAAGCTAAAAGGTTGGAATTCAGTACTATGCAGAAGATCTTAAAATCTCACCATTTTGTTTGTCTCCTTGCACTAACATGGATTGCGCTCTTTGACCACTCAAATTCATCCCATTCACTTGTCCGACCATCATAGTGGAAAAGCAAAAGTTGGAAATCCTCAGAAAACTATCAAAATTTATGTAACAAAAACCNGTCAAAGATTCTCCTGATGAAGGGTAGACGCTAAATCAGGCCCTCCTTCTAGCGCCAAACTGTTGATGCTCGTTTATGGCACCAACCAATTCTCACGTGGATAATGCTATTTGATGAATTAACACACGTGATGATGGATGCCTGAAGTGAAATAAATGCAAAGAAGACTTTTAAAGTGGTTCGGATGCTAAGGTAGCAAATCCTACGTCCACTGATTTGTATTGATATTAGTGTGGGTCAGGTCGCGAAGCGGACTGACGTACAAAAAGTTATGAAAAGTAAGTGCTTTTCTTTTACAAGAGAGAGAGTCGTTTTTTGTAAAGAATGGCCGAATCCCCCTAATGGAGGGGTCTTTTTCGTTTTATATCAAATTGAAGCGTGTAATCATCATTAAATCCATGGGTTGGTGTGATTGTCAGGATGTAATCCGGCTTTACGTCCCATTTTCCTTTTTCCAAGCTGATTTTGCACGACTTGCTGCAGAGGAATGGACGCGTGTGAGCTCCATATTACTTTGCAGGTCTGACGTGTGTGTGTTGCCCTGACGGGAGCAGGTCACCCGTAACGTGACTTTTCCCACGTCAGCCCTTTATTTCCCCGGGTATAACAGTAACTAATTAAACTCATAATATTTTCATGGTTTATTTATCTATAATTTATAAAGTATTCAGGTTTTTTGTATTTGTTATTGTCAGGGAAAGAGAAAGTGGAAGGGTGTTTGGATTCATGCTCAACAAGCTATTGTGCCAAGAATTGAACATATTCATGGAGGAGCTAACATGGAAAGTTTAAATAAAAGCGCTAAAAGTGCGCACCGTATACTAATCTTGTTATTGAGAATTTTTATGATGTAATGAAAAAACAATAATAAATCTAATTGATTGATCTTATTGGAAATAGACCGAGATTTAAAGGTACTACCTGTTGTTTATAAAGGAGTTATGATCCCACCAATGTCGGCGTTGTTACTCCCACATGGATGAAGCAAGAGAAGACACAATGCTGAGTAGAGCTATAGAAGAACAATTGAGCCACAGAACAAAGCATACCTTTCTCGGCCTTTTGGCTAAGATCAAGTGTAGTATCTGTTCTTATCAGTTTAATATCTGATACGTGGGACATTGTCCCACACGATATTAAATTTATTTTTTTAGGGGGAGGATCCACTACAGTAGCTTGCTACTGGGTTCCTTAAGCGTCGCCCATGCGTTGCACTACTGCAAGGGCCTGGCGCACCTCAACCAAATCAAGTTTAAATTACAATCTCTGAAAGTATCTTTTTGCAAAAATCAATAATTGCCAAGATTCTATTTCTGCTGGATAATTTTAGTTTATATGAAAATGAAGATGGTGATGACAAAAGATATTGCCAGCAATAGTGAATATTAACGCTCAGCGGTGCCGTTCGGAGGTCAGTCAATCACACTAAAGGTCTCCAGTTCGAGTCCAGGCAAACCCAAAAAATAATTTATTTTTCATCTTCGATTGGCAAAGCCAAAAATTAAATCATTTCATTTTCGATTACTTAACATGAAATATAATATCATTCCATTTTAAATTGATTTTTTTTTTCATGTAATATCATTCATTTTTAATTTTTTTTTCATTTTTCATCTTCTTTAGTAGCCCAGAAAAAGGAATCAAAACGGATTGGAATGCAGTAAATTAACATTAATTGTGAATTTGTGACAAAAGAATAAAATTAAATATTAATATTAACATGTTTTATGAATCTTTAATTAAACACTTATCTTTTTTAATATACCATGACTCATGAGGTTGTCATACTATAATGTAAGTTTATAATTAATTAAATTTCTAATAATTTAATTCAGTAATAAGTAATGCACTAATATAATAATGTTTATCAATTTATCATGTATAATTAATTAATTACAAATTTATTATAGATATACTTGAAAGTTAAAACTTGATAATTTAGGTAAATAAATAAATATCATTCAATCAAATATATTATTTTATTCAAAAATAATTCTTTTAATAACATTAAAACACTTTTAATTGGATCCTAATTTCAATTATTCACTTAATTAATCAAAACTTTAATATTATAATATATATTTAAAAAAACATTTTAAAATAGATATGATATATATATAGATATATATATATAATATTTATTATTTAATAGAATCGACACCAACCAAATTGGGGCCTCCAAGTCCCACACGCACCCACAGTGTTTTAATCCATTCTAAATTTTGTATATGTAAAATGTTAGGGACCCCCCATTCTTTACTGATATTCTGTTTCAGTCCAAGTTCAAGATAAGTCCAAGAGGTTCTAACGTGGTAAGACCATTTGTTCCAAGCAAGTTCTCATATGGGTACTCGCCATCGGATGCCAAGGAAGTTACTCACCAAGTACTACGCCATTTCGGTTCGGGTCTCGGTGTTTCGAGGTGTGCAAGTGTCCAAAATAGTGGAATCGAACCTAGCAGTACAAGTATTCGGTTTTGTGTTCCAATTTTTGGTTCTGTATTCATAAACTAACCCATGCGCCCCATTAATCGCTGGCTACCCATTGGGTGTGGTTGCACGTTTTAGTTTTATACAGATGATGCACAAATCTATAGAGTTGCTGTTATGTAAACGCTTACTTAAAGTGTTAGAAGTATCAAAAACATCTCCATGTTTTCGTGATGAATCTACCGAATATCAAATGTTTTTGTGGTGCTATCTGTTATGATGCTCAACCTATTCTCACTCAAACGGTCTCAGTCTCCTGAGTTGAGCAAGCTAACACCAAACTAAATTAATGTTTATTTTCAAACTTTTACAAAACATGAAATATAAACATCATTCAACTTTTAATTGATTTTTTTTTTTTTCAAACTTTTAATCTACTTTGGGCATCGCAAGACAATATATACATACACAGGAAGTTCGTACTTTAATAACTACCAACGACAATTAATTTAAAGATAAAAGAAATAGAAAAAAAATATAAAAAAATATTGTAATACCCTGAATAAATATTCATTCACTTTGACCATTAAATGTATGAGAGATAGCAAATCCACAAGAAGCATTGCATTAAAGGAACCTGAAACCTCTCATTATTGATTATTACTATTTAACCATTTTTATAGTTTGCATTAATGTAAAACAAATTTACAGCCAGTTAGGCTACCAAATCTCCAACAAAATTCATGCCCCCTATCCTTGTTCTTTTTAGACTCTCAACTAAATTAATAAACTAAACCTTGCCGGTTGATACCATATAAAAGCCAGTATTAATGTAAGGACCAAGCCTATGCCAGCCTATACCAATATTAGTTATCTTAATGTAAGGACCGATATAGTATTATTTATAGGACGAAGCTAGTTATAGTTATCTAGACATGGTTTAGGGTTTATGGTTTAGTGTTTTGAATTTAAGTTCAATGAATATATGGAAGTGTTAGAATTCTAGAGAGAGAAGCAAAGAATTCTAGAGAGAAAGGCAAAGAATGAAATTATATATGCAAGTATGTATTTTCCAATGTACAAGAGCTATCTATTTATACTTACAATATATGCTAGATCCATGCTAGTGAATTATGCTAATGGCTAAAATCAAGCTTTGATTGATTCAAGCCATTGATCAAGCCTTGCTTGATTTTGGCTAACACCACACCCACCACCCAACCAATCTCCCCCAACCACCCCCCCACCAAAGCTCAAGGTGGTAAAGCAGATTCTAGCTTGAGATTGGAAACTAGCTCCGTGAATCGTCCAATGATGAGCTTTTGTGAAGACATCAACAAGTTGATCGACGAAGCAGACAAATAATAACTCAACAATGTCTTGTGCAATGTGGTGGCGAATGAAGTAACAATCAATCTCAATGTGTTTAATGCATTCATGGAAGACATCATTATGAGTGATCTATATTGCACTCTGATTGTCAAAATGAATAGGAACGGCAAAGGAATTAGCAACACCCATATCTTCTAGGAGCCGTTGGAGTCAAAGCAGTTCAACAGTGGTATCAGCTAAGGCACGATATTCGTCTTCTGTGTTAGATCAAGCTGTAACTGATTGTTTCTTACTTCGCGAAGAAATGAGTAAGACCAAGGAAGAAACAATCACTACAAGAAAACTAGCATTCTACGTCTAGCAAAATTAGACACAGAAAGTCACATTTAGACGCTAAGCCATTTTTAGCGTCTAAATTTGGTAGTCCCCCCTTAGTTGCAGTAGGCTGGTCGCAGATTCATAGCGCGTCTAAATTTTGGTTTAGACGCGAAAGGTTTTTTTTTTTTGTGACTAGCAAAATAGTCGCTAAATGCTGGTCAAATTAGTCCCCCAACTTAGACACCAAAAGTTCAAGGGTAATTTGGTAAAATTATATAGCGACTAATCAATTAGTTGCAAAATGTACGTTTTAGTGTCTACTAATTTGTTGCGAATCCCACAAAAATTAGACGCCAAAGGTGTAAAGGTAATTTCGTAAAAGATTTTCGCAACTATTTTATTAGTCGACGAATGTATCTTTTGGTGACCAAAATTTAGTGGTTAATTGTAATACTTTTAGACGTTGAATGTAGAATCCAAACGGTTTTCGCGACTATTTTATTAGTGATCAAATGTATCTTTTAGTGACCAAAATTTAGTAGTTAATTATAGTTATTTTAGACGCTAAATGTGGAACCCGATAGGTTTTCGCAACTATTTTATTAGTGGCCGAATGTATCTTTTGGTGACCAAAATTTAGTAGTTAATTATAGTCATTTTAGACGTTGAATGTGGAATCCAATTATGATAAATTACCGTTTGCTACTACAAAATTAGTTGCAGAATGGGTTTTTTTTTTTTTTGAGAAAATAATTAGTGGCAAAAGCATTTTGTATTGACTTAGTTTATACATTTAACATCAACAAAATAATCCATCACAATATAAAAATCTGAACACTAACATCAAATATCATATTTTCATATATATATATATTCCATACAAATGTTTATCTTATTTTCTTCTTAT